TTTTTTTTAGGTTAGAATTACAGCATTGGCAACAACCTTGTGGCTGAACACAAACATATATATGTATGTACATACATATATGCAAACGCATGTTCTCGAACTTTTTACGCAAACATGCGGTGGGTCCAAATCAAATTCGATATACCCCCAAATCCAATATCGTAAAGAATATGCTATTAATAAAAAAAACCCCTTGCAACTGATAATACGTATTTTTAGACCGCAGGAAGCGTTCGGCGTTCGACAGGCTAAAATGGATTAGTTATCGATAACAATTTCAAAATGACAGTTTTTTTTTTTTGTCAATCGATACTTGACGTTTCGACGGTTCGTATTTGAATACGTATATTTAATGAACTTTCGTTCATTTGGAGGCCTGGTTGGTTTTTTTTTTTAGCAATCACGTTTCGGTTGCTAACTCATATCGTGTTTTCTTCCTCTTGCCAATTTGGCCCGAAAATAACACAAGAAAAGGAAATTAATCTTACGAAAACCAGTTTACAATCGCCAAGCCCGCATTGGGATTGGCATGGAGCAAGAATTGAAATGCGAATTATATATACATATATGTATAGATATATATATATATATATTCAAATTCGAAATCTTTGCTGTGAGTGGATCACCTGTTGCTGGGCCTACACAAGGGCCCTAAGCGGGGCACCCGGGAATTGCGAGCGTCTGATTATCTGTGCATTATCAAGGTCGTTGTCAATATAAATATAATATACTGCAGCATTCTTATGGCTATTATTAATATTATTATTATTGTTATTCATATTTCTTGGCTTTGATTTGTTTCACAAACCAATTTCATTATCAATGTCAAGCACAAGTTGCGAATTGCAAACGGCTGCGATAAGATTCCGTTCGTCATGCCCCCCACAGCTTGAGATAGGCATTTCATTAATGGATATGCCTGTACCCATAGTATATATATATGACTGTCAAATGTATGTATATAATATATATAACACTTGGATGTGGGTACATTAAATGTATGTGACAGTGCCTTATCTGTGAGTGCGCCTTATCGGTTCTTGGATGGGCTCCTCTGATTTATATTTAACTGCGGCTACAAATTTTTTAAGTCATTTCTTGTTGCTTTCGTAGTTGGCAACCGAGGGGCGCTTATCAAATGCGAGGCGTGGCATCGCGTGTTGCTGCCTGCCGGCACATCCCAATCAGAATCTTTTCCCATTCGCGCTTATCAGCGTGAACAAAAAAAAAAAAAAAAAAAACAAATGAGAAAAGAAAAAAGCAAAACAGTTGAAAGCGTGCGTCATTCGCATCATTGTCATCCACACAGCCAAATCTGTGGCTGCGACATGTTTCCGTTCCAGTGGAACGCTCGTGCGCCAAGAGATGTTAAAAGTTACTTTCTTGGCGCAGCTGACAAACGAGAATTATTGCCAAAGACCAATTTTGGGCAGCGTTCGTTGTGCTCGAAAAATCCTTCACCGACTCGCTGGCAATTGTTGGTCGGAACCGGTTGCACTTGTTGCCAGACAAGTGACTGGCAGCCGCAATCGAATTGCATCAGATCAGAAACAGAGCACAGCGGAGCAGAGCGAAGCACATCTCAATGATGGCCAATGATCCAGTTAGCATGGAGACCAGTTTCGTTGGTTTGATCGATTGTCGCCGCATTTTGGCCCATTTTTGTTTTATTGAGAGAGCAGCCGCAGCGCGGCTAGCGTCAAGGTACATTTATCGCGCTGTTAAAGCTCATGGCGTGTGCATTGCAAAAAAATGCATACAGTATTTACAAAGATATTTGGGTGTATATTAAATAAACTAAATGTTAAGGAAAAGGCATTGTATGCATTAGCTAGGCCTGTTGCGTTGTCAGCTTCTTCATGGTCGACGATGTGGCGGTGGTCATGGGCAGATGTGAGGGTGAATGCTTCACCTTCGATGTGAACACATCGTAGCCGAGACTGATCACATTATCGTAGAAGATGCGATAGTGTGTGGGTATCCAGTAGAAGTTGACGAACTGCGCCACCGGCCAGACGGTCCATTCGGCTGCATAGAGCTTCCAGGCCTTCTCCTTGATCTCCTCCCACACCTCGTGCGCGTCCTTTCTCTCCAGTATGCCCAGCGTCACAAAGAAGGCGGATATGTAGAGCGGCGAACAGATCAATTGATCGAGAACAATCTTTTTGGCCACCACACGCATGCTGCGACCGGGCAGATATTTGTCCAGCATCTGATACCAATAATGGCATATGATGCCAACGGCCACGCCGCTCGTCGCCATGTGCCGGGTGCGTGTGCTGCTGTATGTCTCGATCTCGTTATTGTACAACTCCAGCTGCTGTTCGAGAATGTCGCCCACCGAGCTGAGCGTTAGCGAGATGCCAACATTGGTAAATAGTAGAAATTTATTGCTAAATGCGCTGCTATGCCATTCGCGCATTTTCTGCAGTGTTCCAGATCTGACACCGGCGCCGGCGCCGCCTCCAGCTCCCGTCGCCGCATGCCGGAATATGCTGTAGCTGCCCCGGGAGAGCAGGATTCGTAGTTTTCGTCGCAGGAGGTACATCTTTCGCTGATATTATGGATGTATATAGGTTCTTGCCGTTGTGATAAATACCGATTCGCACTAGCTCTAAGCGATTGAAATGAAATTTAGCATGGTCTCCGCAGGCGCTCTTAGTCTTCGGAGTCCATTTTGTGGTGGCCAGGACAGTTTACTATATTTGAATTTTAAAACACATGATACTGAACTCCAATAGAAAATATTCCAAATATTTTAAAAACGCCAAACGCTGCCGGAAAGATTTCCCCAGCGCAGCGTTAGGTGGGCGGCGATCGCAGCAACAACAATTGCACAATCACGTGTAGCGAACAGCTGTTGACCAGGGCGTCAGCATTTGAAACGATATCGAGTACTTCAACTACTCGATTGCTTAACTTTGGTGCAACTAAATGTTTAGTCATTTACTAACAGCTACAAGTTGCCTAGAATATTACTAAAATAACAAACGATCAATTTAATGTGCTGCAACTTATGTTTAACCGAAAAGCACAGCAATGCTTATGAAAAATCCCATATAATACAATATAGATAACAGCACAGTATCGATACTTGTGCGACAGCCCTAGAAAGCGTTGCATTGTTATTGCAGTGCTATTTTCTTTATGTTTTTGTTGTTGTCACAGGCGTCGTAATTGGCAAGCTGTGTTCTAATTCAAAGTCAGCAACAGTTACTTGTGCACTTTCTGGCATATTTATTGTATTTTTGTACATTTTTGCATCTGATTGTGCCACAGCACAGTTTCCTACACAGCTGTAAGTTTGTTTTTCTCTTTCGCCCAAAAACAAAAAGACACTGCAGATAAGCAGCGCTGCGCAAAAGTATACGCAAACTCGTTGCGTACTGTTATTAATAACACTTTCGTGACAACAATTTCTCAACATTCTCAGCATCAGCAAACAAAGAAACGCACGCTCGCACACGCACACACACACACAAACATACAGGCGCAGACAAACACTGCAATTAAAGGCAGGTAAACGAGCGCAAAGGGTAGCGGAAACGCACAGACAGGGACAATAGAAGTGCTCTGATAAAAACTCGAAACAACTAAGTACACGCACAAGTATGGGCCGCATCTTTCTGGAGCACCTTGGCGGCCTCAAGCTGTTCAACTGCGCCCAATGCCACACCAATTTGACCAATCGCAGCCAATTAATCAGCACACGCTTCACTGGCGCCACGGGTAAGCAGAGAGTATACACGATTTATTGTTGCAGCTTGTTTGTTGATTGTTATATAAACATATATATATATATATACATATTATCCGCAGGACGCGCCTATCTGTTTAAGCGCGTGGTCAACTTGACGTTCAGCGCCATACAGGAGCGTGTGATGCTTACGGGCCGTCATATGGTGCGCGATGTTATGTGCAAGAACTGTGGCGCCAAGCTCGGCTGGATGTATGAGTTTGCCACCGAGGAGACGCAAAAGTATGAATAGTCCTCATGTCATTCGTATATAGGGGGCTAAATCGCTCACTCACACTATTGTTGCCTTTCCAGATACAAAGAGGGTCGCGTCATTCTCGAATATGCACTGATCAATGAGGCGGAGGGCTTTCCATCGGAGGCGGGCGGCACCAGCCACTGAACACAACTGAGCGTAGCTGCAGCTCCAGGCCAATAAAGCGTGTGTAGCCCTAAGTATTGAATAGCAAGCCGCAGGCGATGGCTTCTATAGCATATGTAATAATGTAACCGATCACCGTGGTCCTTGCATCGACAACTGGCTAGTGTGTGTGACTGTGTGTGCGTGTCTGTGTGTGTGTGTAGCTAGATATTATCATGTCGAGATCGTTAACGTGTAATTACAGCCCCTGTCAGCGTTACTTAAACGTAGTTTTAGGCATTAGCACATAAGCAACTGCGCGGCGCCCAATTCTAAAAATAATATTTATGAGGCTGATCTGCTAAAACACTCCCACCTCCTTCTCCCTTGGTTGCCGTGTGGCACAACGCAACTACATTTGTCCCCACTTTCTTTTTTGTTTTTTCTATTTGTAACATGCAATTATTATAAGGAACACATATGTGGTCCCACCCTGTCAACAACTTCATAAATTAATAAAATAAGAGATCTCTAGTTATCTTTATAAATCTCATCAAAGTAAATAGTTGTTTTTCTCAGTCTGACAAACGTTTAAGAACATGTGCACGAAACAGAAGCAGATGCTAAAGTTACCGAAAGAGAGAGCGAGAGTGAGGGAGATAGAGCAAGCATGCACACGAGCAAGGCATCAGGCCAACTTTTAAATAGCACTGACTATGGCATCAGATGCACAGATCCGTCTGAGATCTCAGCCCGGAACTGTATCCTTTAACTGCCTTTGCTAACTAATTAGAACAGCGGCAATAAACAAGTACATTATGTATACGATTAACAACCTTAACTATGATTTACATTGCTTTTATTTTGGTATTTATTTAATTGCTAGATAAGGACCCATACAAATGCAACAAAAATGCATTTTTATTTAGCTCAGCTTCGCTATCGGTGTGAATTTGTATTGTTAACTAAACTACTTAGTAACTCGAACTGTGTGCTCTACAGCTTATTGGTCTTCTGGGCCATGGCTAAAGCATTCTCGTTGGCAATCATTTGGAATTCCTGGAAGCGCTGCGATACACGCTGGTTCATCTTCAGGTACTTTTCCATGCAATTCAGCGAGCATTTCTCCTGCAAAGCAAGAATACCATTATGATATATCCTTTGGTCGGAGTTCAATTTGTAATTTGCCGCTTACCTCAGAGTCTTTGACATCGCGTGATGTGAAATCGCGTACACAGTCCGTAAAGCACATTTCGGAAAGTTTGTTGTAGGACATTAGGAAATCTGAAAACTATATGCACGTTGTTTAGTTTGATTGCCAGAAATAATCACATTCGGGCGGCACATTCGATTGCGCATTGCATCACATTTGCAGCGGATTTATCAATCAAATGCGCCGCGCTAATTACCGTTTTCATTTGATCCTTGTCCAGTTGGTCCAGAGAAACGGTTTCGGGGCTTTTAGCCATTTTGTACTGTGTTGTTTTATTGAAGTTTTTGTGAAATACAACGAAACGCTGTGCGATTAAATAATAGTAGAGCTCAGCTGTGCTGTCAAAATACCAGGGCTGCTATTCAGCGATAAGTCAATGTTATCGATATGTCTGGCATGCACATCGATAATTGGCTGCCATCTTGTTTTTAGCCCACAATCACAAATTAATTTTTCTCTACGTAAGCGTGGTTGTGTCTGCCTGCTGCCTGCGAAAAAAAATTGTGTATACCTAGAGACGCAATTAATACTTGGCTAAAGAAAAAAAAACCTTAGTTAAAGTTAGCAAACGCTTTCTACGTATATATTTATATACACATATATATATAGATATATATATATATATATATATAAACACACCATGCCCCGCTATCGTGAATGGGATTTGGCCTGCAAAGTCTACGTGGGCAATCTGGGCTCCTCGGCCTCCAAACATGAGATTGAGAACGCGTTCAGCAAATACGGACCTCTGCGCAACGTGTGGGTCGCCCGCAATCCGCCTGGCTTTGCCTTCGTCGAGTTCGAGGATCGTCGCGATGCTGAGGATGCGACACGCGGTCTTGACGGCACACGCTGCTGTGGCACACGCATACGCGTCGAAATGTCCTCTGGCCGTTCGCGCGAAGGACGCGGTGGCGGCGGCGGCGGTGGCGGCGGAGGTGGCCGTCGTGGCGGCCGCAGCGGTAGCGGTGGCGGCGGCGGTGCAGCTGCTCGCGCTGGCGATGCTGGTGGACGTTATAGGTGAGTACCACTCCGATCTTCCCTGCCCCCTTTGCACTGTCCGTGCATCACCAGTTTTTTTTTTTACGCATATGTATAAGCCATTCTGTATATATGTATATACAAATATATGTGTGTGCATATGTGGCATCGCAAACGTTGTGCATTGCATATGAGCTGGCCAAAAAAAAAAAAAAAAAGTATGAAAAATCGATTTGGGGCAAGCAAAAAAAAAAATATATATATATATTTATATGTATATGAAACGGGCCCGCCAATGTGCGTATACATACAAGAAATATTGCAGTACCGGTTGTAAAAGTGAGCACAGCGCACACATACACATACACACATTTACAGTAGCGTGCGCATCAATTGTGTGCACAGAAAAAAAAAATCTCACAAGTCCGAGTATCGTTAATCGATAAACAAGGGTTGGACGCTCAGATTCAAAGTGGATGCGTTCCATATATATATATATATATTTTTTTGTTTTTGTGTTGTTTTTTTTTTTTCACGTACTTCATTTGTTTCGCCAACACCCCGCAACAGAGATTTTTTTTCTCCCCTCCCCCGACCCGTTTGCCCGCTTGTTACTCGAAATGCGGCCTGGCCGTTGTACAAATTTGTTGTGTTTAGTAAAAAAGAAAAAAATAATTGTTAAAAATAGAAACAAAAATCATCGAGGATTGGGGCTCAGTTTTAATGTGGTTTCACAATCATTTTGCAGGATAAAGCCTACTTCTACTACAAGCACAACAAGAACAACAACAACAAGAACAACAGCTACTACTACTACTACTAGAACTTCTACTACTCCTCCTCTTCCTTCAACAAGTACAACTACTACAACAACAACAACAACAACAAGAACAACTTCACGTCTCATAACTACAACAACAACAACAACAACAGCTCCTGCTCCTCCTCTTACACACATTTCACCAACACCAACTACAACAACAACACGCCCAACCAAATTGTGCAGCTTTATGATAATTGTCGATTTCAACAAATACGATATATTCCGCTGACTGCAATAACAACAACAACAACAATAGCGACAGCAACAGCAACACATCACAACAAAAACAACACAAGTTCCTCTGCGCAAGCTCTCAACAACATTATGTACTTAACGTACGCATCTATTTATCAGCCAAGGGGCAATCCAATCACCATTCATCAGCTGCAGCCAACTGCAGCAGCAGCAGCAGCAGCAGCAGCTACAACCTGCATCAGCAACAACTGCAACTGCAACTGCAACACAATACAACATTCACTCACTCTAACTCATGCTCATACCACATGCACACACACACACACACACACACACTCTCACACACACTCACACAAAAATCAGCAAGTGCCACGTGCCACGTGCCACCGTGAGAGCAGTCAATCAGTCGGTCAATCAATCAATCAATTGACTGCAGCTGTCGTCGCAACTTCACCAACAGCAACAACAATCTTCATACTTCATCTCGTTTCGTACCAACAACAACATCAACAACAACAACAACAACGACCATTTGCTATCTCATTTATTAACAACACTTATCAACAACAACAACAACAACACCAACAACAACAACAGCAACAAGCAAGTGCAACTACTGACCCAGCAGCAATCAAATCTAACTCCAATTACACCAACCAACAACCAACCAACCAACCAACCAACCAGTCAACCAGTCAATCAATCAATCAATTAATCAATCAATCAACCAAACAACCAACCAACCAGTCAATCAACCAGTCAATCGATCAACGCTTTGCAACAGCCACAACAACTGTAGACAACTACAACTTGCAGTCCTAGACGCGTCTTCTGCAACGCCTCTCAGCCTCGGTCGTGCTTCTGTCCCCAAAAACAAAATGAACCTCATCTTATGTCATCTATAAGCCAGCCTGCCACCGACAACGACCAACAGCCAAGCAGCCAATCAGCCAATCAGCCAATCAGCCAATCAGCCAGTCAGCCAATCAAGCAAGAACTTCAACAACAGCAATCACCAAGAAACAACAGCAACAACAACAGCAGCTACTTCAACAACATGCAGCATGCAACATGCATTGGGGTCCTTGTTTTTAACCATCTCTTTTGTTGTTGCTCTAGCTCCTAGGCTCATCTCAGTTCTTGCACCCCTTCCACAACAACATGCCCGGGTTGGCCACCCCATCCCCCTACACCCTGCGTCGAGCATCTCCATCAAAAATGTTTATGAATCTTCAAATTCAGCCTGCGCTGCGCTTCTTCACTATTCACCTAAACAACTTCAGCTTCAACTGCAACAACTCCTGCAACCGCAAGCGTACCAACAACAACAACAACTACTACAACAACAACAACAACCACCACCAATTATCACCAACAACAACAACAACCAACCAACCAACCAACCACCAACCACAACCTCCGATTATCACGCAAAGCAACTGCCACAAAAAAAGAAAAGCAAAAGATAAGCAAAGCGTATGTAAAATTGTTTCCAATTTTTTCTTTTAGCTGTAGCTAAAAAAAAAAAAAAAATAACGCAAGTTTTATTTATATTTTTGTATATTTTTCCATTATTTTGTTGTTATCTTTTTGCCATTTTCGTAATACCCTTGCAGCAGTTCACAATAGATAGAGTTAGAATTGGATCGAACCCATGTTCCTTCGTGCTTCTAGCTGTATCCAAGCCAACTTCTCGCCCAGCTGGAACTTGGCAGAGATGCTTCTATTTTTTTTTTTGCCAAAAGTAGCAAATATGTTGCAGATTGACTGAATCGTATCACTATATAGATATACATATATATCTATCTATCCAGGAATACTTTTTTATGAATCATAAAATCAATTGATCAAGTTGAACAAGTGGCTGATCACTTGGCAGCGTTGCATCGAACTACTATATATTGCTGTATATAGTCAAGTCGCAGAGTTGTTGTCTTGGTCTTGGTTCAATACAAAGTACAGTGATCGCTCGCACATCAAATTAATAATAACAATTATCTAAATATAAATATGTCTGCTGGTATATTTAATTTTTGTTAAACGATTTGTTGTTTCTTTCATAAAATAACATTTCACGATTTCTAATTGAATTGCGATCACTGTAGTTTTTATTATATATGCCATCTGCCGCATGTCTGCAAGGGTATTTGAGTTTCGGCAAGCCGAAGCTAACAGAACTTTCTTGGTTTTTTATCGTTTATCGTTATCGTTATCGTTCACTTAACATGCATTTTTTTTTGTGTGTTGTTGTTGTTCCTCTACACACTCACCCGCTAATTGTCTGCTTTATTACAACAACAAGAAAAAGTAACAACAACAGTTAGACTAAAAAGAAAGAAACAAAGTACCGCACACACAGCAGAGGCAGCAGCAGCAGCAGCAGAAACAGCAGCAACAACAACAACTGCGGACGATCTACCCACTCTTCAGCTCTTCAGCCCTCTCTTCAGCTGCTGCGTTTTGAGCCGCGCTCTCTTCACGTCTGTGTGTGCGTGCGTCTGTGTGTCTGTACATGTGTGTGCGTATGGGCAGCGCAGCTGTTGAAAACCAGTATTAGCATCAGCACACACACACACACGCACACAAACCACCACACCACAGCACACCACACCAACAACAAACCCACCATCACCACACCAACAACAACAACAACAACAGCTACTTTTAGTTCACCAATAACAACAACTACAATAACAACAAACTACCAGAACAACAGTCTACTCAGTCTGCTCCGCTCATCAAAAAGCCACCAACCACCAACCACCAATCTCCACCACCACCACCACAAGCTACTACTGTGTTTATGTATGTTTTTTGGGATATAGCCCAAGGCATAGCTAAGATACCCTGCAAAGTAGCTCAACAACGGTTGTTCTCAGCTCAGCTCAGGTCAGCTCAACGCAGCGCCACAGCCACAACAAATTGTGACAGCACCACCGACCAATCAACCACCAATACTCCCCCCAGCTCCTCCATAGAAATGAAATGGAGGCACAGCTTTATAAAAAAAAAAAAAACAAAACAAAATAATAATAATATGTGTCAAAACGCAAGTGTTAAAAATCTATTTAATTTGTATTTTTTTCTCTCTCTCTCTTCTCTCTTTTTCGCTCTCTCTCTCACTCTCTCGCTCTCTCTCTGTGTGTGTGTGTGTGTGTCTGACTCACTCGTCCTACTCTGTCTGCCTTAATGCTTTAAATAAACATAAACCAATCACCCGCCCCCACCCAACCACCAAAACACCATCTAATTACAGGTCACGCTCCCCGAGACGTTCAAGGACACGCAGTCGCAGTTTCTCACGGGATCGACGCAGCCGCTCGGACTCGAGGGATCGCCACTAGGTGGAGCCGCAATCAGCGCAGCAGCTCATAAGACAGTTCTTCACATAACCACCCGCACAGACACAAATACAGACAGACACACCTACACACACACACACACACACTCACACTCACACACACAACTAGTACATGTGTAAAGGCGCCGCGAGTGTGGCCATAAAAAAAAAATAATAATAAAAATTTCCTATTACAGCCAGTTTTTTTTTTTTTTTCGGATTATATATATGCGTGTATATATATATATATATAAGTATATATATATATATGCATATATGTGTACAATTGTGAATTTCGGACGACAAAAGCAGCTCCTCACAAACAAACAAGAAAAACCAAATAAAAAAAAGTAAAAAAGAAGCAAAATAAAAAAAAAAATAGAAATTTAATTATAATTATGAAACATTTCGAACCAAGCCGCAACAACATATTTATTTGAAGGCAGCCGCGAGTAGAGTTTGTTGCTGTGTATCTAGATGTAAGTGCATAGAGATTAAAGAGAGAGAAACTTATAGAAAACAACACACACATACACACAACACATACACACACTCACACACACACACACAACAGCAACAAACAACAACAAAGAACAACAACAGCCTGCAATCGGATTGACTAGACGGAGCGGAAGGTACGAGTATTTTGTGAATGTTTCTATACTTTTTTTTTCACCTGTATTTTTTTTTTTTGCTCGTAATCTATCGACACAAATTGTAAAAAAAAAAAAAAAAATATATATATATATGACAATTTAAGGTGAACATAATAAAAACTATGAAATACAATGCGTAAAGCGTTTGAATCAGTAGATAAGAAGGCGGCCTGGGTTCAAATATAGGTTTTCCTCTTCCATCCAGGAAAAGCAACAAGAAAATCAGATGAAATTAGATGGGATGCAGCCGGAAACTTCGCTGTTGATATTCACTTTCCATGCACGACTTTGGAGTCCGGAAATGAAAAGGATTAATTTGGCTACTCGCCTGGATCACATAAGGTAAACACAACGAATACCAAATACCCTTTACGCATAGAGCTAACGCACTGATAGATATCTGAGTAGAATTGTGAAGTTCGACCGATTCTTCATGTGGCAACTATATAACGGACGAACTCGAGCTAATACGATCTTGAAGTTATGCTGAGCACAAAAACAAACTGCGGCTGGAAAGCGATATTTATCGATTTTGAAGAAACATAACTTTGCTATATCCTCTCTGTAAACCCTCTTCTAAGACTATTTTTAAGAACTAAAATACAGATAAAGATGTGCTAGCTATAATGTAATTACAAGTATATATATATATATATATAATAGGAAAGTATGTCTTAAGCCAAATAAAAAATTGATTTTGATATTTGTTACATCTATATTTACGAGTGTCTCAGAATGAACGATTAGTAGAGATGTTATTGAAGATGGTAAAATATGTGAGGCATGATTATTTATAATATATAGACATTTTACAGGGTAACTGCTAGTGTGCTTGATTAGAACGAATAAGAAAAACAAGCAATTGCAATGCGCATTGCACACTTTTGGGCGCAAAGAAGCCAATCTGTAAATTCTGAATGCCAATTGTATTTGTGATACATAATTTTTCTATAACAAAAGTACAATATATATAACATTTAGCGGGAACATCAAATGTACAATATATATATATATATATATTTTCATAACAATCTCAAACGATGGCAACAAAGCAACAAGTAACTATTTTGCTCAAACAAACATTATTGTCAATTTTGGTAATGTGCCTCAATTCTATTATTTAAAAACCATAAACATATGGCACATATATATTTGTATATGTATATATATATATATTTGTTGTATATAATGCGAATAGACACGGTCGAACTCGAGCGTGAGTAGAGGAACTCGCGCAACTATCATAAATAAGTGGTTCACTACTTTTATGTTTTATTAAATACACTTTATAATTTTGGGATGAAAAAAAAATTAAAAGCTGTTTCACGTCTCAATTTGGTTGCTGGATGGGTGGGGAGCGCAATGCTGTTGGCATCTACTTGTACTTCTTCATAAAATCGGCATGGAACACACGGAACTTCTCCATCATCTCCTTCAGCAGAGCCGTTTGCGGCAATATGGTGCTGCGGAAATGATAGGTGCCGGGCAATTGGCCGAATCCGCTGCCGGGCACAATGCAAATGCCTGTTGAACAATTGTAGAGATGCGTTATATGCGTCGATTTGTATTTAATTGCAATTGATATTACCTGTCGTCTCGAGCAGCTCGAACGCATAGAAGACATCCGGTTGCATATTCTTGGCCTTGGCCGCCTCCACAGCCTTGGGCGGTATCTCAATTTTGGGGAAGACGTACATGGCGCCCTGCACGGGATTCACCGTGTAGCCCTCGAAGCTGCTGAGCGTTTTGTAGACCAGCTCGGCGCGTTCCTTGAGCGCACCCAGCACAGCGGACTTCTCCTTCTCGAACAGCTCATAGGACGGCTCGCCGGGCTGCGGTGGATTGACGAGAGCACTGATCGCCACCTGGCCGGCGGTGGTGCTGCACAGTTGGGCCGTAATTGACTTGGTCAGCACGGCCTTGACGTCGGGACACATGTTAACCACTTCCATATAGCCGCCGCGTATGCCGCATTCACCGAGATAGCCCTTCGAGACGGACAGAAAGCTGATCAGCTCCTGGGTGCGATGCGGTTCGCCCAGCTCGTTCATGACCTTCTTAAACGAAAAGAACTTGGAGTTCTTATCGTAGACATTCGCCTGGTACACCTCATCGGCCAGGATCACCAGCTTGTTATCGTACGCAAACTTGATGATCTCCTCAATGTTCTCACGTGTCAGCACCTGGCCGGTGGGATTGCCCGGATTGATCACAACCAGAGCGCGCGGATTGCAATGCTTTTTCGCCTCATCGAACGAGCGCTGCAGCTCCTTGCGATCAAGACCCCAGCCTTTGTCCTCGTTCAGGAAATAGTCCACCCTGGACATGCCCAATTCGGTTATGGTCGCCGAGTACAATGGATACTGTGGGATGGGCACCATTACGCCGGGCAGCTGACCGTTCTCCTGGTAACTAACAGTAAAAGAAAAACAAATTAATATTTTTACAAACAATTTACTTTAAAAAGTTGCAACGGTTCGGTTCTTGACTTTCAATTCACGATATTTTCGGTTCTCGATTCAGTTGTTCTTTAAAGAACTAAAAAATATGTAGAGCCAAGTTTCGAATCCAGAACTGGATGCACAGTTGTCTAAGATCTGATCTATGTATGAACCGAACGAAGTAACGAATCGGATTCGAACTACTTGCCTGGCAAGATTAAGCCCGTTCAGATACTCACTTAAGCAAGCTGAGAATGCTCTTGATGCCTGGCGAGGCGCCACCGGTCAGATAGATGTTCTGATAATCGCTGGGCACACCGCCGTCGCGCTTCTCAATGAAGGCGGCCACCTGGCGACGCACGAACTCCATGCCAGCGGAGTCGGTGTAGGAGCCCATCGAGCCGCCCAGGCAGCCGGCCAGAACATCGACAGCGCGCGACTTGATATCATCTGGATAATCGGGTGAGTCCAGTAGGCGTGGCTCCATGGTCAGCGCCATTAGCTGCAGCAAAAAAATAAATTGTCATTGAAGACGAGTGTTTACTGTATCGCATGCCTGTACTCACCTGCCGCAAATAGGTCAACGGCTTTTGACCCATCGCATGGCAATCGCCGATGTTGGCCCGAATTACCCGGTCAAATGGCTTCTTTACACCCTGCAAAATGAACGTCAATTATTGAAAGCATTAGCCAAATTACAGTTTGCTAAATTGGACAAATTGATTGAATGATTGAGTGCCTGATGACTGATGACTAATGACTAATGACTAATGACTGATGACTGGATGTTTTCTGGCCTCATTAGAGGCGGTGGCACCAGAAACAAACAGTTATTTATAATTATAATTATATTAAATTATATTTCGGAACAACGAATTTATTAGGCGCCTGACAAGACAAGTATCGATACTTTATATAGCTCTATAACTACATAGAGCTGTATAGGTATATATATGGACTATATAGATCTATATGATATAGTAGTCCGATGCTATGCTATAGCTTACAAGCTCTATATCTCTTGACCCTATAATGATAAAAGAGGAGAAGCGAGAAAGAGAGAGGTAGAGGGAGAGTACTCTCTGTAAATTCCCGCTGTTAACTTTAACAGTTGTTAGCCGTTAATAAGGCAGCCGATTATCAGCTTTTGATCTTAACGTTAACTATCCCATTATAATTTGTACATTTGTGTTTTTGTTGTTGTTTTTATAGCAGCTTGACGCCTGACTGAATTCGGTTTGGATTCGCGAGGTTCGTGATTCGCCTCGCATTCTATTCTGTTCCCACATCAAAATCCAAATGTGGAATTACTCATACGAGCCGTTGCCCTGCTCGCTGCCCAACCTCCCTTCCCCTTGTCGTACACTTTGCACAATGCACTCAACTAAGTATTTATTAACATGCCACACCACATATATATATATATATATATATATATATATATATAGTATGTTATATGCCTACTCGTGCAGTCGATTGTTTGACTTGTTTATTTAGGCAAATTATAGTTCAGCTAGAATCCAAGCTGCCAGTTAAGTGGGCAGAGCTTGAAAGAAGTCGAAACAACAGTTTGCTTAGAGCAATTACCCGGCGTCGCACGGTGTTAAATGTATATTGTTGAAATGCAACTACGAATGTAATTCCCAACCACTTCGGGCAGATGGAGAGCTGTTGTAATATGTTGTAAGAACAGAATTCTGGCAGCTTTCTGACCAAACACCTGAACTTTTAGTTGCGGCCAGCTGATCAAATGTGTACACATTTCAACAGACATTAACAGTGACATATGCACCTGTCTGTGTGCGTGTGTGAGTGTGTCTTGATAATTGAGTTTGCACTCAAGACTGTAAGCGAAAACCTTTTGCGGTTATATCTCATCGAAATCAACCGCAGCCACCTGACAGGTATGAATATATACACACACACGCACGCCTATCTATCAATAGAGGGCGTGTGTGTGTGTAGGTGTGTTAGGTACATACTTCGATTTGTTAATGTACATTTGCTAATATGACAGTCGAGCAGCTCGGAGAGCATCAGTAGGTAAAAAGAATAACAAAGTGCCAGCAAGAGAGCGGGGGGTCGCATCAATGTCAATTGACTATGCTAAAAAGTGGCTCAAATTAGACAAACTGTACCGAATGAGTGCAACAGGTAGAGCAGTTATCATGTGCATTTATTTACACATTCTTCTCTTCCATATGGATATATATATATATGTATATAGAATGAAAGGTAAACATTTGAGCACGTCAATCAATTACGGCTCGCTAGCAATGCGCGCAATTGATTGTAACAGCACGCACAGATACATATATATAACAGTTAACAGTTTAAACGCATGTTAAAAACAGCAACCGTTTAAGACTGGTAATGCCTAACAGCATGTTATATGTTCAAAAGCAACTTAACGCGAAACCGTTAGCGAAAAGAGTAGCTTAACAGAGTCGAAACATGTTACTAACTTCATGCCAGCAGCATGTTAGCACACACTAACATATTGCTAATTGCGCACAAGTTAACAGCATGTTCAATTAATATGTATAACATAACACACAAATTAAACATGCTGCTAACAGCGCAATGCTTGTACATTTTTATTTCCAATAGCGGCTCACGCTGTGTAAATAGATCAGAGCTTAACATAAATATATATGTTTGTTTGTATGTATGTGAGTAACAGTGTCAAGCATTTGGTATTGATAGACGCTTCGATTGTCCATTTGGCAAGCTGTCAAATGGCTGTCGAGTTTGTCAAGAGCTGGAGAGCTGATGCTGAACGCGTTTAATAGAACGCAAAAGCAGCAACAATAAAGGAGAAGAAGAAGAAGCTAAAGTATAAATGATGCGAATGAGGAAATGAGCCATAATGTTGATGAGAGGGACGGCTGCAGGTGAAGCGGCAACTGTCAGCAACAGTAGACAGGGGGAATATGTAAAAAGTCATAAAGAGCAAGAATGTCAGTCGAACAATGAATGAATAGCGCACACACGCACACACACACACACGCACACATTAGCATTATGCAGTTTAGTGTGCGTGACGAGGGGCAAAGAGGAACTCGCATTGCCATGAAATTCGAAGAGATTTTATTATTTAACATAGCGCTGCAAAAAGGCAAACGTGAAAAGTAACTGTAAGAGCGAAACATGTACATATTATGAATATGGAACTGTGTGTGTATTGTACAGTAGTCTCCCGCTGCCAAACACACACGATTGGAACGTGCGTAAAAAATATATATATAAAATGTATAAATGCACATACGTATAAAAAAAAAATAATACATACGTATATTTAAATATGATGTTTCATCTAAAAAAAAATTACTTATAATATAATTATATTCTTATTAATTATAATTATAAAGAAGGACTTGAAGATGTTGCAAAGATATAGGGTTTGAGTTTAATGCATGTTTCCCATTATATAAACATATAACTAATTTGCAAATAGCGCGAGTATTCCAAAAATTTTCCCCTTGTACCAAATGCTAATAACAACTTTTCTTTACATGGAATAATTTTTACGTCTTTCCAAAATTATGAAATACCAAACAAAAATTTCATCAAACAAAAAAGTAATTTTGAATTTTTGTCAAAAGTGAAGTAAGCTAAAACTTCGAAACAATTTCAATTAACGCAAGTTCGACTTAACAAGTGGCCACTGTACGCTGCATATGTGTGTGTGTGTGTGTGTGTGTGCGAGTCACAGCTCATGCGCATGTTTGATGCGATTGTTGTTGCTTGTTTGTTTGTTTGTTTGATAACAACGCCCCCAACAGCATCCCCCAGCACCCACCACCCGCCAGCTAGCCAAAGAGCAGCCAGTTTGACTTATATAAGCGTAAAGAAGGGCCCCTGTGGAGCGGCAGCAGATGCTGCCGGTGTTTTGAAGGACGTTCAGCGAACTTGGAAACCAGTTTCGTGCCTTGGGACCAAAGCAACAAGAGGAAGGTTGGCGAAAATAAATATGTACATAAACAGAATTTAGAGCTTAAGCCGAACGCTGAATTGAAATTTAAGAGCGGATAATTGAAAAAGTGTGACCCCAATAAATAGAGAATTTAACTCAGTTCTAGAACAAACATGAGAGTATGATAGACCCCCGGGCGCTATAATTAAAGCCTATAACAAACAGTTTGATAAAAAGTGTTTTTTTTTTTTTTTATGGACAAGCCGTTGTACGTTCCGTCATGTTTTGAAGAAGAGCAAGAGCAAGAGCTTATCGCATTCCAGATAAGTTTTCAATTGGCGATACTTCGAGTACAGCTATAATAATTTAGTGTGTACATAAGATGTATGGTAAGATTCCATAACGGTACTCTTTTCATATAATGATATTTTCTCGAGCTGACTTTGAAGAATATCTCCGGATATTGGAGTTTAGAAGGCCCCTTAAAAGACGCGGCAAAGGAACATTTTCTTTAATAAAAAAAAAAATAGGTGAATATAGAACATTAAAAGAGATTGCATTATGCGCAATAAAATCCGTTAAACTTATCAATTTTTGAGTAAATGCACTAAAAATCTTTCTTAAAACTAGATAAAGCAGTTATTGAAAAGGTTTACATACAGACGCAATATTCGAGGTTTAACAGTTGCGCGATATGTAAATAATTTGCGAACGAACAAAAAAAAAAACACCGTAACACTTTAGAAAAGAGAAGCATACAAAAAAAAAAAAAAAACGGCGTGAAGACCGAATAGTACACAGCAGCGCACGCTAGATGGCGTGTGGCTGAGCACGCAACGTTAATTGGCGGAGCGCTTTGTGTGCGTGTGTGTGTGTGTGTGTTATTGTTGTTGTTGGCGGGCTAAAAGGGGTTTAGCGAGCTTACCTTTAACAGTTCCTTCTCAATTTCGCCGGCCCGTATGACGATCGGGCCACGTACCGCATACTCCATGGACACATAGTTGGCATTGATATTGTTCAAGCGCAAGACATTCATGGTTTGGGCTTTGTTGGACATGCAGCTGCAAGAAGTGTGTGTTAACAGAATAGGAAATCAAAGAATTAATTACGCGCTGTTCAAGTTCAGTTAAATGTTAATGTTAAATGCAAATTGGTTTTGGTTTTGGTTTTGTTTAGATGCCACATGAAACACAATAACATACAAATCGCCAACACAAAACAGAAAACACGAAACGACGCAAAATAAAATAATATCAAACAAAAAACAAAAAAAAACAAAAAAAAATGTATATGATGAGGCTACTAACCGAGCAGGAGCGTCAAACGGTGAATGGCTACCACGCGCGTTCAATGCTTCAGCTTGACTGCGACGCTGCGTCGCTGTCGTCGTGACTGTAGCCGTCGTCCGTAGCTTTTGAGCGCTGTTATTGTTATGTAGAAGCGATTTCCAGCGGCGAATGACAACACTTGCCGTCAGTTTACATTGTTGCTGCAGCTGGCTGCTGTTACGCTCCAGATGCGGCGGCAGGCCAGCTGCTGCTCTGGCTGGCATCGCAATCGCATTGGCGGCACGCTGCAGCGTTGACGGATTCCTTAACAATTGACGACTCATCTTTAACAATTAATTTGGTATCCCTATTTAATATTTAGCTAAAAGCGCTGTTGTTGCAAGCACACTGTCAAAGAGAACGAGAGAGAGAAAGAGAAAGGGAGAGAAATAAAAAACGGTATGAATAAATGTCCAGTGCAAAAATCGACGCGGCAGCAGCACCACCAATACAAATACATACATACACACGCCTGACTTGAATGCGTATAAGAGCGTGCGCTTAAGCTTGATTTATAAGAGTGGAAGAAGCAAACCAGCCGGATTGGTATTGCTATCGACCTTGCCATTGGTGTGAGATATTTTTTATGTTATATAGGTATTTGTTTTTTATTTTTTATTATGGGTTATTGGGGGCCTGTTATCAAATACATACGATAAGAATATAGCATGTAGCATCGACACACACACATATTAACTTATTTACAATCAAGCGTTTCAATTATATAAATAACAATTAACCGGGGTTCTCAGCTCGTATGTTGTTTGTGTTGCCAAGACGCAATTGCTTGGCTAAAGCTAATTATAAATTGAATGATAAAAATCCTTTTGAGCTTTCTAACGGATAATGTGCTATAAAGGCATTTTGCTTATGCCACAGCATGGTCACACTGTTAATGAACTGCGATAGTATCGATAAATGCGATCACCAATAAGAATTTGAATAACATCATTTTGACTTCTTCCCAATTAAAATCTAAGAAATATTTTGACAATCTCTCCCTACCTGTGCCTGTGTCTATTTAGATAACACCTGTTGTTGGCTTAACGTGTTGTTTGTTATTTTCTTTCAGTTGCTCGAAGACTTATGACAGTAGCCTTTTAGTGGAGGGCCCATTTAGATAGGAAACGGATTATGTGCACATATGATTTGATGGGCTTATTATGTGTGCTATATGCACACATGCCCCATTAGATGCTATCAAAGCTCATGTACTTTTGACTTTCAACCCGCCAGACTAAATACGCTTATCAGTGACGTCCCAGCCGCAGCGGCAGATCTCAGCTTATGTTATAGATTCCTTATATAGCATGTATATAGCATATATATATATATATATATTGTATATACTTAGATGTAGAACAAGGTATTGTTGGCAATAAAGTGTACTTTGGAATCGCAATTGCGCAATAGAACAGTTCTGTGAAACGAAAGTGTTTGCCAAAATTCATACACACAATACCGAAATACCTGACAATAAGCGGTATAAATGATACGCAGTATACATATGTGTATAAATATTTGTTACACAAAACAAAAAAAGAAGAGCCTAAATGCAATAACTACGTTGAATAATTCAAGTTGTCAATGAGCTTAATTATAATGCAAGATTTAAGTTCTTTACTTGGACAATCGACTAGAACGTCAACTTAAACTAAAAAAGAAAGAAGCGGAAAAGCTTACTTGCGCAGCTTTAAGCTCTCCGAAAGTTCAGTGTTGTTTCAGGCTTTAATTTTAATATGTTTCTAAATCACACTTTGTCTTAGAGCAATAAATTATGTATATATAAATTATGTTTAAGCTTTCAGGTGCTTTTAAAGCTCTACTTTTTAAAATAAACAAAAACTCGCTTTAAAGTTGGAGCAAGCTTTAAGCAAGCATATGAAACGAAAACCTTAATTAAGCTTTCAACATTGAATTTAAAAAAGTTGATTAAAGCTTTAATATATATAAGAAGGCAGCAACATTTTTGTTGAGTTCAATTATTCAATTATCGCTTTAGGGCAAAAGCTCAGTTAAATTATATTTACTTGCAATTTTTTGGATTCTATTATATTGAATATATATTGAATTCGTTTTACGAATTGCTAAATTTTCTTCCACCACGAGCATAGAAAAAAATATATTAACAATAATGTTTTTTTGGCATTGCCTTTTGATCAAATGATTAACTAGAGGTTAAAAAAGCTAAAGCTTTTGCAATTATCACACAGCAAAACAAAAAAAGCTTTTCTCATATAATTTCTCTCTGTGTATCTATGCATATATGAAATGTTAGCCAGGCAAGTTAGCATGTGTGTGTGTGTGTGCGCGTGTGTAATAATCAATATGCCGATATCAGAGTTTCTCCAGGTGCTAAAGGGAGCGTCAATAAAGCGATAATAGATTTATATGCTAGCATGCGTGTATATTGAGCTGTACATGCTGTTGTTAATCAAATATTTTTATTGAATTCATGTTTGTTGACTGTTCTGATTGGACCGTTGACAACAGGTTACGCAATGGGCGCTGCGGCAATTGCAGTGTTCCAATAAGACTGCGCTATGCAAATGGCATGCGCATCAGATAAGATAAAAGTGAAATTAATAAACTATATAAAAAAAAGCAACATAAACAGAGCAAAATGCAGCGCTGCCAAAGAAAAAAAGACAAATCAATTGCACTAATTAATAATTAGCTGGGAAAACAAAGCTGGCTGCAATTCCAGCTGACACATCAGCAAATCTAATTGGAATTGTTGCTTTCGTTGTTTAGCTGCTCGGCTGATTGGGAAAATTGGTGCGAATTGCGGTGTTTCGCACGCAATTCAATTGACGACGACACGCAAAACGGTAAACAAAATCAGAAGCGACAATTTATGACTATTTAACGCACATTATATTTACGTTAGCCGCTCGCACTTAACCTCAAGCGGCCTTTTTTTTTTCTCCTCTTCTTTTTTTTTTTTTTGTGGGGATTGCGGAGCCAATTGCTCTCGCGTAAGCGTGTGCGTGTGTGTGTGTGTGCACATATGTGTAAATAGTTCAAGAACAGGCCGCACAGTGTGTCCACTTGGCATAAAATCGATTTTTGCATTTTGCAATTTGTTTTGGGCTCAAATTCTACGCACCTGGTCAATTAAACGCTGTCACGACCGGCCGTTGGGCAGGGGGTGGGGGGACGTTGCTCGATTATCTAACGTGGTAGCAACTGCGTCGGCTGCGGCTGCTGCTGCGGCTGCTGCTGTGTGTGGATGTCAACTGGCGCTGATGTTCAATCCGTTTGTTTGTTGTGATTTTTGCGTTCGGTCCGAGCGAGCAATCAAATTGATTACATACACACATATATGTGTACACCACACATGCAAACGAAAAAATTATTAATAAACCCATCTGCGCACAATTATGCATATACATACCCTATACACAAAAAGTTTCGTAAATAAATTTGCCAAGGTGTTTGTCGCCTAAGTAGCAGTAACTGTCTGTCTGTCTGTCTGTCTAAGTGTGTGTGTGTGTGTGTGTCTGTGCGTGTGTGTGATTCTGACGCTTAGCTTTGGCAAACAAAATAGCGCCAGTGTGCTCCAATGTTTTGAATTTGCATGCAACTATGGGGAATTGTCCGATCAGCTGTTCGATAGCAGCAGCGACAACATATCGATAACAAGCGCTAACAGAAATCAGCTGGCAGAGTCTGTTGCGCCAGTGCTGTTTAACAGCGGCCATTTGTTGTTTGTCAACACTTCAGACTTATCGATAAATTGGCATTCGGTCTGTGCCTTTCACACTCCGCTCATCAATAGTTAATTGCGCACATCTCAAATGCTCGCATTTGTTGTTGTTTCGCCGGAGTTCGAACGTGTATTCGTTTAAATGCGGATGTGGAGCGTCGACAAAAAACAAAAAAAGAAAGAAAAACAAAAACGAAATTCTTTTTATCAAGTCTAGCACATTAATATAACTAACTGTTGTTAATTGTTCATCAGTTGTATTGTACAAGAGCTCACTCGATTGACTCTTCCACTTGGCCAGTTCCGTTGTGCGTTCAAACAAATATTCAATTTAAAAAAATAGAAATCAAATCGGACACAGCAATCAAGTGCATTTGCTGGCCAAAGGCGATGCATAGTATTTAATGCCTATGTAAATAATAGTGCAACGCCAGGTCTGCAAAAGTTTTAATTTCCGACTAACACGCGCACACAAACACAAACACACACGTATACACTGCGATAGAGTTACTTACTGGCGGGAGACAGGGCTGTTGGGCGAGCGAAAGCACAGGGCTGTCACGCAGGATAAATAACAGAAAGGCAACAACAAGCGCACTTCTTTGTTTTTGTTTTTTTTTTTTGTTTTTTTGTTTTCACCCACGTGAGTGCGAGCGAGTGCGTTGGTGCGTGAGTGCGTGCGTGTGTGTGTGTGCGAAAGAGTGCAAGTACTTTCGCAGAAAAAGGAAAAAAAAAATGGCTCCAGCTCTGAGTAAATTAGCGCAAAACCAGAGCGCCATTGTCGGCGCGGCTGGCATGACGGCAGCTCTATGGATAATCGCATATGGCAAACTATCCAATAACAAGAGGTGAGTACCCCCTTGAACAGCCCTACACATATTGGGCAAGGTCTTGGCTGCGTTACGAAAGTTCCTGACATTGAAAACTTTTAATTTGATGTTATATTTTTATGCGCATCGTAACAGCCAGTGTTGCGAGAAACTGAAAAAGAAGCTAAAATAGCCGCAATTAAATGCTAAATGTTTTGAGAGTGTATTTGCCTTTCAAAGGAAATACAAATCAGAAATGTGATATACAACTAAGTTAATATTTGTAGCGTAAATATTCGCTGTGGCAGCCTTTTTTTTTTTCATTTTCTACACTATTCATATTTATCGCACTGTAAATAATAGGTGTAAATAAGCTTATATGACTTAAATAAGCGATGCTTCAAATAGAACACAATGTTCTAATCTGCATTCTTTACTGTTAGTTTCGTAACATAGTTGAAATAAACCGTTTTCGGGCTAAAAGCATATTGTCTTTTAAAAGGCTAGCACCAGCCAGAAAATGGCCAACATGGCAGCACAGGCCAGCGCGTTGGCTTGTATTGCTGTATGCGTGTGCGTGCGTGCGTGTGTCTGTGTGTGTGTCTGTGTGTGTGTGGATCGTACGATGCGTCGCTTGTGCATAGCGGACGGCTCCCAACTGGTTTTTTGTTGTTTTTTTTTTCCCCCTTTTCTTTGGCCCATTTTGCAGCTCTTCCGTCCAAGGACGACAAGAGCTGCAACAACCGTAATATCGAGAGTGATTGATATTTGTATAGACTATATTTTGCACGTACATCGACGATATGTGATAGATATGTTTGTATATATGCATTAGCTGAATTATTTTCCGTTCATTTATTGACGCATTTCTTGGGCCATAAAATGTGCAATAACAATGGATCGTAATATGTGGGTTCGTTCTTATCTAAACGTTTAGTCATAACATAGACAATTTATTTATGAACATTTTTGGCGACATGCAAGTCGGTGGAATACAGGGTAACACAGTTTGTGTAACGAAATGAAGTGAAGTGTAAAACAGTTTCGATTTTTCGTTACACTAGAAATAAACAGTTTTAATTCAAGTCGATTCGGTTTGATAGCACTTACCGTTAATTAACAATGTCAACCTGTTGGCAAATCGAGTTACATATTTTGATGTCTATTCCCCTTTCCACGGCCTTTGCACATCGATTTGCATTGTCAATTTCGTCTGCTCGCCTCCTAGCGGGAGGTGATAAAAGGCCTTTTATGCAAATCAGTGTTGCAAAGTGCAACAACTTTGACACGAGGCATCGTCCATTGCGACGGCGGTGGTGGTAACAACGGTTGAAGCGAGAATGCAATCGAAATGAATATAAACAGACACACATACATCTTCACAGACACTTGCCGGCATTGCTTTGTTTACGTTTCTCAATTTGCATACGAGTGTGCGTGTGCGTGTGCGTGTGTGTGTGTGTGTGGGTGAGTATGCTTGTGCATCTCTTGCGCTGTTGCAGATGGCTGCGTGCACATGTGTGCGTATGTGTGATACACTCGCATAGCCGAAAAGACTGTTAAAGCGTTGCCAGACATACTTATATGTAGATGTATATATGTAAATTGCAATCTAGTAAGTTCATTCGATTTGGTTCGCACACAAGAGTTGCCACTGCAGTTGAATTGTAACAAATCTGAACTTGATCTGAAACTTAGATAAATAGAGAGAAAGTAGCAAAAGTTGTTTTGTTTATTGAAATCGTTTGCTTATAAGAATCAAGTTAACATAAATATGCCTTCATATTTCGGCATATGTATGTACGCATATACATACACACGTATGTGTGTTGTTGTTGTTGTTGTTGTTGTTTTTTAAATGGTAGATTTTCAGTTTATATTGTTGCCGGGCACCTTCGGGTTGTTCCGCCTTTGGATTTCACACACTCGCCAGAATGAATGTTAATTTTTGTTTATCTTCGCCTGGCATTCTACAGGTACATAACATTTTTTGCGTCGCCGGTTGTTGTTGCGCAATGTTTCAGCGTATTAAACATGCATGAATGTTAACAATATTGCGGCAATAGTATACGGTAAAAGAAAACAACAACAACAACAACAACAACAACAGAAAACGCCCATTCATCGCAAACATACCAATTGTACACATACACACATACATACATATCGATGCGTATAAGAGTGCAGCATTAGTTGACAGATTCGCGTTTAACAGTGATTGCTGCTGTTAAACTGCATTGTTTATTCCTGTGTGCGTGCGTGTGTGTGTGTGCGCTTGGAACTATTGCTGCCCTGAATATACATATGTATATGCATTTAAATTTGCGTAATTCAAAGCGCTTGACACATGCACCTGCTGGCACAGTCAAATTTGACATTAACGTTAAATTGGCTTGGGCGTGAAATGAACAGCACATTTGAATGAATTAAATATATATTTATATGCAGCCTGTCTCGCATGCATGCGCACACGCACACGCACACATTCAAACGGTTTGCATGGTGCAAATAGTAAGAAGAAGCAGCTTGCTTTCAGATAACGAACATTTTATCAAGTAGTTTTATTTGAAGCATCTTTCTGACTACATATACATTTGTATATACATACATACATACATATATATTTATATATGCCCATGTATATTGATGAGACATTCGAAATGATATTGAACCTTGCACCCACGGCAAAAGTTGCCGTTACGAATCTGTTCATATACATATGTATACGCATGCATGTGTGTGTGTGTGTGTATGTGTGTGTGTGTTAACTTGTCTGTCTTGTTGCTGGCCCAACAACGCGGCGATGATAATAAAATACCGGCAGCAATACATATGTATGCACCTTTATTGTGTATGTGTGTGTGTGTGTCTCTGTGTCTCTGACGTCGTCGTCTATTTCTCTTTAGCTCTAACTGTTTTGTTGTTGTGTTAATCAACAAATTTGCTTGGCCAAACTTCAAGTGGCAAAATAGACATAAGCCGAAAACGCGATCGTCGTCGCATTTGCCCCTATGGACACACACACACACACACATACGCACAAATGTGTGTGAACATATATTTCAACTATACAACACTGTTTTCTCTCTCTCTCTCTCTCTCTCTCTGGCTTCCTATTGGTTAATGCTGACCAAATTAACATATCAATTTTACCCAGCTCTTAATTGCCAAGCGCATTACAAATTGTTGCTGCCGCGCTTGCAAGACCCTTTGCACAATGCTGAATTCCATGTGTGCTGCAGTGTTTGCTTAAGTCGATTAATCACCGCGATTAGCAACGGGAAGGTAAAGCAGCTGATAGCAAAAGCGAAAATTTCCAATCAGATCAAAGTATCGATTAGAGATGGACGCAAACGCAGCTGTCCGTTCCCAATCAGAGCACGATAAAACACACACAGAAACAACAACAAGCGCACTTTGGTAAAACCAGAAACAGCAAAATGAAGCAATAAAAGATTTCGTTGGATTTTATAGCGGGCAATTAGACGGAAAATCAAACGAATTGATCAGAAAAACTCATTGAAACATATATTAAATGGTTTCAAAATTAGTTTTGCCTTAAATATTGAGCAAAAGAGAAAGTATAAGTTGAATTGTGTTTCAATTACAGCACGAAAGTGCCAGAAATTAGAGCCAACGGCTTTCCAATTGGAATCAAAGCCAGTGTTGTTAAATGTCTTCGTGCCCGCTCACGATCTCACATGCACATCTCTAGCGCTGGCGACGGCGCATCGTTGATCATCAAATGCGATTGACCGACCTACGGACCCGAACACGTGTTACGCGTTAACCCCCCCCCCCCTCTCCACCCTTACACACACACACATACTCGCAGCCTTAATATAAACACAATACATATGTTTGGGCGTGTGTGTAAATCCGTTGGAATTGATAGAAATGAGCAAATCAACAATAAAAACTCGACGACCACTAAAAGTAAACGAAGAGAGAGAGAGAGAGAGAGAAATAAAGTAGAAACTAAAAAAAAAAGAGAAAACAACAATAACCTGTCAAGAAGAAGAATGTATGTGCAAATAGTGCAAGTCATCGCCAATCATCAAAATTTTATGAAACCGGCCGCAATTTGGCAGCCGGCGGCAGGCGACACCTCCGCCTCGGCCTCGGCCTCGGTTTCGGCTTCGGCTCCGGCCATTTGATAAGCACACGGACGGACGGACGGGCGAGCACTTTGCACTTTGCCTTGACTGCCACCCACAAGACGACAATCCACAGTCCACGAATACCACGACCCGCATGATAAGCAACCGGAGGCGGCGGTCTATGAAATTTTTTGGAACGAATCGCCCTTTTGATCGGCTGCAGTGCATCCGCATCCGGGCAAAGCAATTAATGCCAGCCAAAGGTCGCAAAGTCAAAGATGCTGCACTTCAATATTGATTAAGTGCTTCGCTAATGATGCAACGGATTAGATATACACACACATATATATATATAAATACATAGATAGATATACAGATGGAACTACTCTCATTATGTTGTCGTTCGTTTCTTGAATTTCCGCTACACGCGACAATTAAATCGCAATCACAGCCGACTCATGTCTAATTTTAATGGGAATTACAACTGCGCTTGTAAGTGGATGTAAAATCTATTTCATTTGTAGTTAACAAATGTGCTTTAGACTTTGCATTCGCCACAATTGCTACCAAGAAACTTATCAACACTGGTCTTTAATTGCAACAATTGCAGCTAAACACCTTATCAACACTGGCAAAGTGTATCTGAACGAATTATTGGCTCAAAGTCTTATAGCTAATCCCCCAAGAAGACAATACAAATAAAGGTCTATATACTCCAATTTTATCTAACTTCTATTAAAGTGTTTTGGACTTTGCATTCGCTACGATTGCAGCTAAAACCCTTAACAACACTGGTCTTTAAAGTAAAATATATCTGAGAGAGCAAATCAGGTATAGCCTGGTTATTTAGGGCTAATTTTTGTCATACTCCCATTTAACTGGTTCCGAAACAGTTCCTAGTTAAGACTCACTCACAATCTATTTTTCGATTTCGATTTTCGATTCTTATCGATATATCGAAATTTAGAGCAGATATCGAAATAATATAATTATAAACAATTAATCGAATTTGTTTTTGCAGAAAATCGGGCTATGAGGATAAAATTCAGTATACCATATCGGAGAAGAAGGACAAAAAGTCGAGCAAGGCGCACGTGAATTCAGTATTCTTTAAACAGCTGCGACAGCTGCTGCGTAAGTTAGCCCAATACACATATAGAGTATAGATTCGTCTGCTTAATGCACATATATATAAATATATATTCATATATATTCGTTATGCCAACAGCCATACTTATACCCAGATTCTGGTGCATCGAGACGGGCCTCCTGCTGCTGATCGCGGGCTCTTTGATCGGCCGTTCCGTGAGCGACATTTGGATGATACAGAATGCGACCGTTGTCGAGAGCACCATAATACATATGAATCGGGCCAAGTTTAAGACGGCGCTGCTTAAATATCTCGCTGCTTTACCAGCTGTAAGTTTCTGTTTGCCTATGGGTGTGTTCAGGTGTGTGCTAACCTTCATTTTGTGCACAGATTTCGGTGGTCACCAATGTGCTCAAATGGAGTCTGGGCGAGCTGAAGCTGCGTTTCCGCACAAACCTAACGCATCATCTGTACAGTCAGTACCTCAAGTGAGTATAGACCCCAATTCTAAATACGAATAGCTCAAATACCTGTTTAACAGCTCTTTAAACTATGCCCATGACAATTGAATGCCTAAACGTTGCAATAAATAGTTTCCCATCGAAATGTTTTCATTATCATATTATTAAGGCTGACGCTCGATTGTTGAGTGTGCTTGACTGAAAGAGCCAGAGCTGGGCTCTAGTGTGCACCGTTTAACTAATCTCTGTATGATTATATTCAGTTTTTTTTTACACAACATCAACTAGACTTTCAAGTAATTACATTAATGATTCAACAGTTCAAGCTTAGTTCTATTCGAGCCTTATGAAAATATATAGATTCGAACGAGCACAAACATATTTCAGCTTGATTGTAAAGTTTTGCTCATAAGAAAAGCGATTCGATATGTTATTATATACACTAAAGCTGCAAACTGGGTTTGAACCAACACCAGTTCAAACCCAATTCCCTTTTTACCATGAAACAACTTTTTGTTCATAGGAAATGCGATGCGATGTTATTCCACAAATAAATGCACTAATCAGAACTTCAAACTGGGTTTAAACCCGTTTTGGTTTTTACTATGAACCAACTCTAATGAGATCTGCCAACTGGGTTTGAACCGTTTTTTTTTTTTTTTCACTATAAACCAAAGCAAATGCCGTAAGAGGAATCGAAGCAAATGTTTCTCAAAAATATTTCGACTTAAATTGCGAAACTTTTCACTTTTGGAGAAGAAAGAACTTGGACCCCAAAATATTGGATTTATTAAATGCCAACTTTGGGTGGATAACAAATCTAGCCCGTAATTTCTCTATGAAAATATATACATAGAACTTCCAATATTTTCAGTAGAATGGGCAGTTAAAAATATGAACCACAAACTAGGTACAAGGAGTAGGTACAAGGAAAGGCACGTAGCTGGTTCGAACCAGCGACTTTACTTTTAGGTTTGCAGCACAATTTGTTATGTAAATCCAGGAAATCCTTTAAAACGGACAGTTAATAATATAAAATGTTGTATATATTTAGTATATGAGAAGTTAGCCAAGATTTGAACCGTAATCTAGGTTAAAGACTTTGAAGGTTTGTTGGTTTGAGCCAGCGACTTCTCCAATTGTTATGAAACATGTTTTTATATGATGTTGTTGCCTCTCGTTCTTTCAGTGGCTACACGTACTACAAAATGTCAAATCTGGATAACCGAATAGCGAACGCGGATCAGCTGCTGACCACGGACATTGACAAGTTCTGCGAGAGCGCTACGGATCTGTATTCGAACATTAGCAAACCGGTGCTGGACATATTCATCTATGTGTATAGGCTGACCGTGAATCTGGGCGGCAAGACGCCGTCCATACTGATGCTCTATCTGCTGTTTGCGGGCGTTTTTCTGACCCGACTGCGTCGCCCCACCGGCCGTCTGACCGTCGAGGAGCAGAAACTGGAGGGCGAATTCCGCTACGTGAACAGCCGGCTGATCACAAACTCCGAGGAGGTCGCCTTCTATCAGGGCAACGTGCGCGAGAAGCTAACACTGCTCGCCAGCTACTCCAAGCTGCGCTCCCATCTGCGCAAGTTCCTCGAGTTCCGTGTCAGCATGGGCATCATCGACAACATCGTCGGCAAATGTGAGTGTGTGCGATTGATTGACTGGATTGCCTGAGAGACTGGTTCATGACATTGCGCTAAAATGCCAAATTGAATTTCTACCGTTTGCAGATTTCGCCTCGATTGTGGGCTTCTATGCGGTCTCGCTGCCCTTCTTCTCCGAGAACCATCCGCTGCTGTCCGGCGAGAACAGCGGGCAGCGTCTGCAGGCCTATTACACGTACGGACGGATGCTGGTCAAGCTGGCGGAGGCCATTGGCCGTCTGGTGCTGGCCGGACGCGAGATGTCCCGGCTGGCCGGCTTCACGGCGCGCATGACCGAGCTGATCAAGGTGCTGAGCGATCTCAACAAGGGCACCTACGAGCGCACCATGGTCAATGGCAACAGCATCGCCCAGAATGGCGGCACCGATGCGAACGCCAGCAGCTTTGGCCCCAACAAGGGTGTCATGTGCTTCGAGGATAATATCATACGGTTCGAGCAGGTGCCTCTGGTGACGCCCAATGGCGATGTTCTGCTCAAGGAGCTGACCTTTGAAGTCAAGTGAGTTTCTGTGACTTGCGCCTGTTACGCAGCATCTCATTGATTATTCTTCTCGCAGATCTGGCACCAATGTCCTGGTCTGCGGTCCCAATGGCTGTGGCAAGTCCTCGCTGTTCCGCATTCTCGGCGAGCTGTGGCCTACGTGGGGCGGCAAGGTGACAAAGCCATCGCGTGGCAAGCTCTTCTACATTCCTCAGCGCCCCTATATGACATTGGGCAGCTTGCGTGATCAGGTAACAGCTCAAAGCTAATATTTCATTTATTTATTTATCATTTGCATTTCCCAAAGTTCCTTAAATGACTTTTGTTCCTCTATTTGAAAAGTTTTTAACAAAACACACGACGTCCGTAACTCTCTCTCCCTTTCCCCTTTTCACTTTTCTGCAAAGCTCATTAAAGCTTTATTCAGTTTTATAGTTCCTTCCGGAACGATGTTCATATTTTAACAGAGATTGCTGCATTTTTATGTTAAAATTGTTCTTGATTTTCTCTCTCACTCTCTCTCTCTCTCTCTTCGTCTTTAGTCATTGCTTGAAAGTTTATTAAAGCTCTAAACTGAATTCATTTTGTTCTTTCAGTCTTCGTCTAATTTAATTCTCTTAGTTCTTAAAAATGCATCTATGCAAAAGGCATCTATTCTCTCTATTTTCTATTTAATTGAAAGCACATTAAATCATATGAAATGTATTCTCGTATATTCTCTCTTTCGCTCTAACCTATGCTGTTTGTGCATAAGGCATCTATTGCTATTCCCTTCCATTCAATTAATTGCTCGATTAATCGAAAGCCCGCCTGAGCTTAAAGCTTTCATTATAAAAAGCTGCGCTATTCGTTCGCTTGCTGTAATCCCACCTCCTGCTCTCTCCCTCTCTCTGAAACATATTAAAACATTTGCTTTCTCGCTCTGCAGATCATTTATCCGCACACGCGCGACGATATGCGCCGCCTGGGCAAATCGGACGAGGATCTGTTGCACTTCCTGGACATTGTCCAGCTGACATATCTGGAGCAGCGCGAGAATGGCCTCGATGCGATCGAGGACTGGATCGATGTGCTGTCCGGCGGCGAGAAGCAGCGCATCGCCATGGCCCGTCTCTTCTATCACAAGCCGCAGTTCGCCATTCTGGACGAGTGCACCAGCGCCGTCTCCGTGGATGTTGAGGGCAAGATGTATAGCTATTGCCGGGAGGTGGGCATCACTCTGTTCACCGTATCGCATCGGAAATCGCTTTGGGTCCATCACGATTACTATCTGCAATTCGATGGCCGTGGTAGCTATGAATTCGAGCCCATCGATCAGGACAAGGAGCACTTTGGTTCGTAAGAGCCGCAGTCGCCACATGGGGCATACACACACACACGCACACTACAAACTACACACTTTTGGATACCTAAACTTTTATACCTTATCGAAATCTACACAGTCTTAGTTCAAGTTTGCCAATTTGTTGTTGTTAAAGCTCCTGCTTCGCTTGCGACTCCATTCCCACGTAAATGCTGTACATAGTGCTCTATATACACTTATATATATATACGATTATATATATCTTTTAATTTCGTGACTTTCTTTTTTGTTTTACACTGTTTTCTTTATTTGGGCTTTTGTAATTTTGTTCTTCTTTCTGCTGCGCGCTTTCCACTCTTGAGATTTTCACTTCATGTACTTTTCCTCAACTATCCTGTTCGAGTAAAGAAGCTGGTGTTAGTTATTTAAGAGCCTATCGTCGATTGATCGAATTAACTAATTAGCGAACATTTAGTAAATCTACACACACACAAACACACACACACACACACGCAACTCCCATGTATATGCACTTGTAATCTTGTAATTTATATTTAATATATTATTTCTGTTTCCCCCCACCCCATATACATTTCTTTTCGGTTTAATTGGAATTTGTAATACAATGTACTTGATGTTTCTTATTTTTTTTTTCACTTGCACTTCAGCAACAAACAATTGCATTGTATTGTTAATGCTTGCATTAAAATGTATATATAAAAAAAAAGGGAGCGATTTTTTATTTGAATACAGAACGGGGCCAGAGGCTTTTGGCTTCTATGCGAATTTTAAACACACTACAGTACAATAATTCAATACAGTGGTCCCTCGCACAGACGTTTCTAGCTGGCAAGCCTGTGCATTACTTGAGGCATATTTTTCTATATAACAGGCACAATTAATATATATATATATATATATAAATGAACATTGTATGGCTTTTATTGTAATGCAAAACTGAAAACAATAAATACAACTTTTAAATGCGAAGCGTCGAATGTATCAAAAAGTTCAATGCTAATTTCTAGGCTCTAATTTCTCATCTCTGCAGGCTATAGGAGCGACCACTGTACTAACTAGACCGCTGTACTAACTAGCTTAATATACATCATTATTAGGCGTTAGTTCTAGCTGCTTATTCTAGTACTTGCAGCTGTCTAGAAGCCCTATTAGAATCCAGCTTGTTTCATAGTTTATAAATAATACTTTTTGTCGCTTAAGTGGGCAAAATTTTTTTTACAACTTTTTAATTTTTTTTTTTTTAGCTTATTGCCGGCAATAAAACGAGTAGTTGCCAGTAAAATTATATGCCAGCAATTAAAGAAATGTTTGACTGGCTTTCAGTTGTGTAATAAATTTGCAGGCTTTAAATTTGTACAAATGAAAAGTCAAACGGAAAACCACATTGATAAAAGTTAATCATCTTTCGATGGATTCTGTTTGCCGTTGGCTCAGTCATGCGATTTAGTATAATTTATATATTTAGTTGCTAATTAAAAGTGTAAGATTGTGATTGTGTTGTATTAGCAGGCCTATTTGTTTCTAAACACACAACTAAGTCAATATTGTAGAAATAAATAAATGATCAAACGATTAAAACAATGGATTATGCTTTGCGTTTGGGCTTTTTGCTCTCCATAAGGCTCATGATTGTCTTGCGCAGATCTTCGGTTTCCTTTTGCTCCATTTCGAGATTCTCGATTTGCTCTTTCTTTTCCTGCAGCTGCGTCTCGAGCACGCTAACCAAATCCTCGGATTTTTTGCGCGCCTCACGCTGCTCCTCGAGCGCCTTATGCGTTTTGGCCAGCTCTGTGGTGCGCTCCTCAATGGTGCGCAGCTTCTCCTTGATGTCCTGCTCGTAGGCAATCACCGATTTCTTCAGCTTCTCGATGCGTGTACACTGCAAACAGAGACCGGGTGTTAGTGAATCATATTGAGGGTCGACTTTAAATAGTTGCTTTTGCTAACATTATCTTTGCTCAGCGCTTCAAGTTTGGACAGCTCCTCGCTCTTGGCACTGAGATTGCTGCGCAGCTCCTCGCAATCTCTTTGCAGGCCCGCAATTTCCGACTGCTTGACCGAGAGACGGCGCTCGCTGGCCTGCAGCTGCTCGGAGGTTTCCGACCAACGTTTAAGCAGATCGCTAAGGTTTGTCTTCAGCTGCCCCGCCTGCGCCTTTAGATCCTTGCACTGCGTTTGCAGGCTGTTGTTGTTCAAAGTGACAGAAAAGGATTAGCTGCAGTTACCAGTTGTTGATCTGGCGTGTACCTACCGCTCCTGGCTGATGAGCAGCTCAAAGTTTTTGGTCTGAAAACGTTCCAGCTCCGCGTTTTGCACATTGGTCAGCTGCGTGCTGTGGCACAGCTGAACGCTGGCCTGCTCCAGGCGTTGCTGCATGTTTTGCGCGGCACAGTTGAGGCTATCGATGCGATGGTTATACAATTCGATCACCTGCGACACGGGCGCCGAGTGCAGCTCATTGCGACGCATTGTCTCCCCGATGCTCTCGATTAGCGCATTCACGCGCTGCGCCAGCTCCTTGTCAATAAAGGTGCGATGGCTCTTCAGAATTGCGCTCAAATTGCGCCACTGCTCCGCCTGCTCAGGACTGGGATTCGCCTGCCTGTTATTGCTGCCAATGCTGGAGACAAACTGAAAGCGGCAAGCAGAAGGTTAGTGGCAAAGTGGAAAGTTGCACGGCAGCCGCTCTTACCTTGGCCACGGCCGCCTTGGGAAAGTGTTCGAATTGTGCTATTTGCAGCATGGCGGCCACCAGCTGCTCATTGCCGCTGAGCATGGCGCGTGCCAGGGCATATTGCAGCTGCGGCAGCTCGAGCAGAGCACAGCACTTGTCCCAATAGGCCTTCTTCGCGATGCTGGCGAAATTGATGAGCAGCAGCAGGCAGTAGATGGCCTTCTCCACCTCCGACTGGGCGAGCGTCTGTGGGCTAAGCATTTGCGGCAGCAAGCTAAGCGGCGCTGCCAGAATCTTATCGAAATAGGACTCGGATATTTTGGACAGCACCAGCTTCTCCGTCTTGGACTCGCGCAGCAGCGTCAGCAACAGCCGCAGTATGGCTGTCACATGGGCGGGCTTTGTATCGCTGCGCTCGGCGCTGTTCACCAGCTTCACCACGTTGGCGGGCTCGCGTGCTATCAGCTGCGAGACGGCGCCGCGCTTGCCCAGGCGCAGCAGGACGCTGAGCAGCTCGATGGCCGCCACGCCGCACAGCTCGGACTCGAGCCAGTCGCAGATCAGCTCGTAGAGGCGCGCTGTTATGGCATCCAGGCTGATCACACTGTTGTTCTCGGACAGCTGCAGCACATGGCTAATCAGGCGGAAGATCAGCTCCATGCAGCACTGCTGCTGCTTGCGCGTGTCCTCACTGGCGGAGTCGTCCATGTGGCGACGTGCCTCTATTTGCTGCAAATGATAAGGGATGTCAGTCAATTAGTTGTCAGCTGCCTAAATACGCGTACGGGCACAGACTCACATTCAGCAGCCGCTCAATGTCCTCGCAGTAGTGGGCATAGCTGAGCATGGCTCGCTGCAGGCCCGCATGGCACTGGGCGTCCAGCAGGAAGTCGACAATGTGCCGCAGCTGGGGCACATGCCACTGTTTCAGGCAGTCCTCCATGCCGGCGAAGGCGGTGCGCAGAAATGTGTGCAGTTCGCGCTGTTCGAAGGCGTGCACATCCTCGGAGAGGATGATCAGCATCTTGTAGGCCAGCAGGCCGTAGTTCTGTATGCGCCGACTGAAGCTGGATATGTTGACGCTGCGCAGAAAGAGAAAGAGCACCACAAAGTTCTTGTAGCACAGATTGACCAGTATGGAGAGCGCCAGCTGTGCCTGTGTGCTGTCCACGTCCGTGGCATTCGGATCGCAGTCCTCCACACTGTGCACCAGCTCGACCAGATGCTCCAGCAGCACCACCAGATACGGCTCCTCCCAGCCAATGCGTATGCCGTATGTCAGATCCTGCAGCAGCAGCAACAGCCGCTGCACACGCTCCGGCCGCACCGTCCGCTTCAGCAGGTAGCTCAGCAGCGGCACAAAGCAATATTTCTGCACAATGGCGCTGCGCGCCTCCAGATTGCGACTGCAGTGCTGCAGCAGCGTGACGCAGCTCCACAGCGCATCGCTGTCGCCGTCCAGGGCGCTCATCAGCGCATGCAGGTCCACAAAGAATTTGGCCAGCTCCAGATTTCCAGGCGCCGGCGCATAGCAATGCGGCGGCACTTTTGTGCCCAGCAGCGCGATGCTGCGCAGCAGATGCACCAGCGACTCCTCCGTCTTGAGCTGATGATAAGCCGCCGCCTGGCTGCTAAATTCCCGCACATAGCCAATGGCCTGCGCAAGCGCCGCGTCCTGCGCTGGCAGCGCAGCCTGCAGCGGCGAGTCGCCATTCTGATTGTTGTTGTTGCTGTTGCTGTTGTTGTTGTTGATGCTGTTGCTATTTGTGTGGCCAGCGCTGTGGCCGCGAATCGTAGTCATGATCGCGTATTCTCTGACACTTTTTATTTATATATGTATTTATTAACTGCACCTTTCGATTTATATTGCCAGCAGAGCAGAGCAGAGCAGTTTTTTTCGAACGTTGTTGTCGCTTGGCGCTAGCTTTGTATCGATAGAACTATGCAGCGGAACTGGTTCAAATGAGCCGAACCTTGCAACTACAGTTTTGAGCGTGTCGTACGATTTTAGTATTTTTACCGCTTGTATTTGTATGTGGCCGACTAGCTTAAATAGTCTAGATAGACCAAAAACAAATATACCAAATAGATTTAAATTGCTATTGCTTATTATTTAATGCAACGAAGTCACTAAGCTGAACAAGTTATTGTATTATTATGTTTTAATTAAATGCGTTGCATATTATAAGAAAACGTATAAGTCATTTTGGTGCATGAGCTAAACTAGTTCTTGCAATTGAACTGGCTTGAGAGCTAACACATGGTTGGCAACGCACAAACTTTAAGTTGGCAAGGCTGTTTCTTCGTTGACAAATGGCGGCAAATTTAAATGCGATTCAACATGAAAACATGCCTTATTTATGATCAAAAGCAAATGTGTCGACTGCTAAATGATTAATTATTAAATTTCTGTGCTTATGGTGTGCTTGCATATATAGTTTTGCATATATAAAACATATCACATGTTCGGCCATGTGCATAAGACTAACGCTTTCTTAAGTCTGCTAGCCAAAAACTTAAAGTCAAACCTATTTAATTTTAAATCGTGCGTGCTTTACATTTCAACAGTTTTTTTTTTTTTTATATTTTGGCTAAAAGTCCATGCAAAATCCAAACGCAATTCGTTGCCGGACAGCTTAGCCGCAGGCTGCGCCATTGGCGAAGGGTGCGAGGCCGTAGAGGGTGCATGTGGCACGGGAGCACGTCATGGGCACATGTGCGCGCTGTTGCCTGTACAGTGAAAACAGCCAAAGGTGCTGAGATATAAGCACAATAAAAAGCGAAATGTTTAACAGTTTCGCTTGGCAGAGCTTTTACTGTACTTGTCTCAGTCTACCCCCTTCACACATACGCATACAGCAGTCCCCTCCCCCACCCACGTAGACGTTCCTTATGTTCTTGTAGTGGCCGCACTCTTCGGTAGGCAGCGATCGGGGGAGGGGGGGGTGGGGGTGGCTTAAAGTGTGCGAAAGCATAAGCCTAAGCTTTTTTATCGTCTCGACCAGGAGCCCAGCCGGCAGTTAGCCGGGCCTCGCTCTGTGTGGGTGAAAAATGAAAGTGGTCCACACACACACACACACACACACATACACACTCTCTGTCACACACGCGCGTGTGTGTGTAGTTGAAAGTTTCAATATTGGCACAGAGTTGGGGCTGCTTATATAGAGGAGAGGGGGCGGTGGGCTGGCGTTTGACTGGCACTGAGCCGAGCCCTGGGGCCGCCCCTGAGCCTTGTCGGCAAACGTTCTGTTTGCCAACTGGCCAAAACGCCTAAAACGCACGCACACACACGCACACACACATGCATATGTAAATTGTATTTGTATATACAAATACATATGTACATTATTCATGCACACACACACACACACACATACATTGGCATTTTTAGCTCAAGCTTTGAAAAATGCGTTTTATTCAAACGGAAGCAGAGCTCCTGGACGCAGGACACAGCACAGAGACCAGGATGTCGACTCTCTGCCTGTCACTGACATGAAGCAGAGTGAGAGGTACGCAGGGGAGGGGGGGGGGTGGTTTGTTTGGTGGAGTGAAAGCAGGCGGAGTGATGTGCGTTGAGCGGCTTTCAAGGTCTTGTGCGTGTATGTAAATATATTTAATCTATGAAAAATTTGCATATACTATTGTATTGGATCAATATGTTGATGTTGTTCTTCTTCGTCTTCTTCTTCCTCTTTGTCTTGTTGTTGTTGTTGTTATCGCGTTGCGCTACACTGGCAAGTAGCCATAAATCAGTGTTGAGTAATGGTCGTTTGTGCGGCCAGTTGGTCGAATCGTTTATGTAGAGTCATCTGTATGTAACGTCAAATGGATTTGGCTGTAGTGTAGAGTTGAGTGGAGACTTTACAAAGTCGTGTAGACTTAAGCAAAAGTTCTTTACATTGCAATTGAACAATATGAAGCAGTATTGGTCTGGTATAGACAAGTGGAGACCTGTGTAGAGTTGCGTAGAGCTATGCATTAGTCGTATGGTGTTGGTATTAAGTACATTGCTGCAAAATTTAATAAATGTTAACTTGTGTAGAGTAACAGTTTGCTATTTAGTAAAATAGTAGTAATAGTAGCAGAGTTATAGTTATGTAGAGTACAGTAACATAGGCCAGATCTACAACAGTGTAGACTTCTGTAGAACAGCTTAGCTATACGTATTCTACAGAGAATGCATTGAGTGTAGAGAATATATGTATGCCTGACAGTGAAATATACAGCTGTATTCTATGTAAGGTATTCGGCGCTCTTGTGTAGGGCATTCGAGAAGTCCACTGTGCCTGGTCAGGACTGCCGACTCTAGCAAAATCAACGCCTGGTCTAATCTAGTTCTACTAGTTTTCACACCCACACATACCAATTGTCACATACTCACACACACACACACGAATTACTTGCACAATGAAAAGTTATGGGATTATGTACAGAGTGTGTGTGGGTATGGGGAAGGGGTGGGGGGCGAGGGCGAGTGCGACTATTCCAGCTTCCTGCCCTTGGGCGTGCATGTAAATAGGGCTCGGTCTCGGACTCATTGAAAGGGCATCGCAATCGTGCAGAAAACTTTCCTCTCTGGGGCAACTGCTGTACTCTGCTTGTGTTTGTTTTTGCTTTTGCTTTTTTGCTATGCAAAAATTTTTTATCCGCACGCGTGTGTGGGTGTGCGTTTGAGTGTTTGTGTGATTGCCCGTGTGTGTGTGTGGGTAAGTGTAACTGTAAGCTGCTTTTAGGCGCTGCTTACAGCGCAAAGCGCTTTAAAAGGTTTTCCGATTCAATAGCGTAGGTGGACAGAGTGTGGGTGGAGTGGAGGGAGAGGGGGGGGGGTGGGATTGGACAACAACAAGGGACTAAACAGCGGCTAACATATGCCTGCAAAAGCGCCCCCTGGCGGGCAGTTCAATTAGCTGCTCAGCGAGTGAGTGTAAGTGTGAGTGAGTGAGTGTGAGTGGGAGTGTGAGAGCGAATGGCAAATGCTTAAAGCTCAGCTTGTACAGTTATTTTCCAATATAAATGCATGCTCCTTTCGTCTTGCTCTCTTGACCAGCCACAATTCGATTAGCTTTCCATTTCGTAGGAGAGCGCAATTAGAAACAACAACAAAACTACTCTGTTCAATCACACGCACACATGCACACACACACACACACACACGCGCACACTCTTAGCTGAAAGAAAAGGCAATCAAAGAACATGGACTTGAACAGTTTTCTACCTGCGTGTCGCATTATTTTTCTTGATTTTCCACTGGATTAAATGCAGGAAGGTGTGCACTGAAATATCTTTTTGTTCTCCTTTATCGTCTGCTTCTGCTTCTTCTTCGACTTTGTCTTCTTCTTCTTCTTCTTCTTCTAAGTGTTCGCTCGGCATTTCGTAAAACAATTTTCAATTTTCATTGTTCATGCAGCAGCAGTTGGCAGAGCGAAATTGCTGAGAGCGAGCGAGAGAGCGAGCGAGAGAGCGCGCACACAGGACTCATTAACTTGGCATGCAATAATAAATTACAATAATTTGACATACCCAAAACGGTAGGGGGAAACAGCGACGGGACAGACGGCGGGACAGACGGCAACGAAACGAAATTGAAAGAAATGAAAGAAAAACAAAAACGATCGCTGCGCTGCGCTGTCCTGGCGCTGCTCGCCCGCTCTCACGCGCACTCTGGTGTCAAAGAGAGCGAGTGCGAGAGCGAGAGAGAGAGCAGCATGTGCGTGCATGCATGTGTGTGCGTGCAACCTGTTGTTTAGCTGACAATGCAAATGCAGTCGGTTTTTTTTTTTTTGACTATTTTCTATTGCCTCGCACTCTTTCGCTCCGCTGTCGCCATATTCTGGCTATCCTGTCTGCTGCTGCAGCCGATAGCCGCCTACTTTTTGGACTCTCTTTCTTCAATTTTCTTTTCGCCGTGCAGGAAACACAAATCTGAAATGTTGCCGTCGCCGTCGCCGCCGCCGCCGCCGTCGCCTGCGCTGCCGCCACCACCTGTAGATTTTTCCATTTTGCTGGTGCTGCATTCGAAATGATGTACGGCGCCTTTTAATTGGACACGGTCTGCGTGATTGCGCCTCGGCCTTTTGCCTCTTCCCTCCTGCCTCTTGCCTCTGGCACTTGCCCTTGCCCTTGCCCTTGCCTTTGACTTTGCTTGTGGCTATTGCCCCCCACCCGAGGCGCACACAAGTGCCACAGTGTGCGTGTGCGTGTGTGTGTTTGAGTGCATCCATATGCTTGATAGTCGTGTACTTAACTATTTTTGTTGCCTCTTACGTCATTTGTGAAAGCGAGTTTCAAGTTCAACATCATCATTATTATCTTTCAATCATAATATCCATCTTCTTCCAAGAGTATTTCCCGGAGAGGGCTCTACTGTTATTTTAGCTGAGAGTGTGCATGTTCAGGGTATGCACGGTGCCTGCTAAAAGTCTATAGACGCCTAAACTAGCCGCTAAAAAATAAACCAAGTTGATGTGGGAAAATAAGCTACTCCCCGACTGTTCGTTTCTATGGCAGCTATATGATATAGTTGTACCATGTTGATAAGATTTTGCATCTTAACCCAAAAAGTTGTAGTCGAAGTAGTCCCATTCGATCGATTCGGATATATGTAACACCTGCAACAGAAGAAAGGACGATAGCTTTAAGACTGACTATGGATCATGCATGGATGGTTGGAGGAATGGAATGATAGATGGACAGACAGACAGACAGAGGGATGGATGGACAGACGAATGAACGGTTAGACAGATGGATGGACGAACGCATATGGCTATAATAACTCTCATCCTGAACCTAATCTAGAGACATTATGGTGTCTCGATAAGCTCGTAATACCCTCCAATAAACAAGCAAAGCGCGCAGCATACAAACTTATCCATCTGATACCAGAAATAGGCTGTTTCAGAAAAATCCAGATCTAAGTACTACGAGGCTCATCCGATCCTAAACAGAAATAAAATTG